TTTCCTTTTCCTACTATGGAATTTTTGTTTTATAACACCTAAATTACCCCTACTAGCTATGTAGTTTATGTTTTTTCCCTTTCCTACTATGGAATATTATTTTATAGCACAAAAATTACTTTCTAAATTACCTAGCTCAAATTGCAACCCCAAATAAACTATTTGTTGTAATAGAAACTTAAAAAAGAATAGTTTGAAAATGAAACTTTAATTTAAATTAATAGTTACCTCCTCCATTCTTTTAATATCGCATCGCTTGAAGTTTCACAAATATTACATCACTTTTATTTTAGGACAAAATATCTATGTTCACAATGCAACTACTCAACATACCCTTACTTTTTTTATTCTTACTTTTTAATTTATCTTTACATTACATGGACAATTTTGTATTTTTACGTTTATCTCTCTTACTTTTTTCCACTACCAAATTTTGTCTTCAAAACCCCCATTGCAATAAAAAAAGAACGGAGGAAGTATTATTTTTCAACCTGTTGGATCGTATGACTAAGTAGTTTGGATTATTGGGTTGTAAAACTTAATTATAAATATCAAACGTACAATTTATGCATATAAGTATATTAGTAAGGGTTTTTTGTCAAATTATAAAACAGCGTCGTCCTTAATTAGTCCGTCCCCCCGTGATAAAAATCCTGGCTCCGCCACTGGGTGAAGCATTTATGTTTTAATTTGTTTTGGCAAAAAAAAAGAAAAAATATATATATAATAAATAAATAAAATTCTGAACTATGTTGTATTCTTGGTATGCCGATATAGTTTCCATGTAAATTTAAGTTGAGATGTCATCAGTTTAAATAGAACATGTGAGGTTACACAAAAGTCCATTCTAATTCCCATTATAAAAATAAGTTTTAATATATATATATATATATATATATATATATATATATATATATATATATATATATATATATATATATATAACTTAAATAGAACAATCAATATAAATCATAATACAATGTAGAAATAAGGGTTAGTTGACAAAATTTATGTATGTAATTCGTAGCTTAGCTTCTTTCTCAAAAATATAGTATATGAGACCGATTCATAGATATTATTTTCTTACAATGTAAACTTAATTTTTTTTTATTTTTTATTGCAAAAACTCGTGAAATGGTAAGTGATTTCGTGAACCACTTTTGATTATGTACAGAATGTTAAGCCAAATTGATACAGTAATTAGATGGAGTATCTATATAAATCCATATAAAGAAATTAGATAATTCGTCATAAAGCTAACCAATACTGGCTATGAAGTTTATTAATAAATCATGATGGATGCGAACCAGATAACAACTATATATGATTTTGAGTGTGTAATACAAATCAAAATCATACACTTCATATTACACAAATCGTATCTCACCGGATATTGTTTCTCAAGATCATCTTGATTTTGTGCATGAATTTTTTTTTCAATATAAAAGCAAGAGAAGGACCAAGTATGCTTCAATTCATCGGCAAAAAAGGTAGTTTTAAATATTTTCTTCAGAAATCTTCCTTCTCCTTATAACATGTTTTTATACAATTTTTTTTTTTTCTTTTCAAGAAGTTAGATTAGAGAGAGTTTACCCTCTAATCCAATCTCATGATTATTAACCTAGGATATTAGAAATTTAATACAACCAAGAATATTGGCTAGCAATAATGCATGTGTTTAACTTAGGGTCCGTTTGGTAGGGTGTAAAACATTTTCAATGTAAAATGGTTTTCCATGAAAATCATTTTAAAATGGAAAACTCATTTTCAAAAAAGTTTTTCGTTGTTTGGTTGAATGGAAAATTATTTTCCATTTTAAGCATTTTCCATTGTTTGGTTGAAATGAAAATTCAATTGTGAGGGAAAATGTTTTCCCTCCACTTGTGATGGAAAATGTTTTCCTTCTAAATTGGGGGGAAAATGTTTTCAATAAGGTGGAAAATGATTTTCTACCCCAAGTTTTACATTTTAATGTTTTACACCAAACCAAACAATGTAAAATGAGAAAACAATTTTCAGTGAAAATGTTTTACGCACTACCAAACGGAGCCTTAGCGTTAAATTGTTAAAATTTTATCGTTTTTATGCAATAAATGTATTACTTTTTATATTAGCTAATTTTCTTCTATTGTTATTTTGTTGTTATTATGTGTGTTTTCAGAAATGTCTAAAATGGTTGGAGATAGTAGCATTAGTGGTGTGAAGAAGTTCACAGCTTTAATTGTAGACGATAATGTTCTCGTTCGAAAGGTTGAACAAGCGTTTCTTAATAAGAAAGGATTCGAAACTAAGTTCATGGAAAATGGCCAAGAGGCCGTTAATATTTTCAATGACGGCAATTCTTTTGATGTTGTTATCATGGAAATGAAATTGCCAGTGATGGATGGGATTCAGGTAATCATTTGTGCATTATCTTGATACTTTTCTTGGTGTTGTAAATGTTGATGTTAACATCATCACTGTTAATTATCTATGGCTATTGATAAAAAAAAAAGTTTCAAAAGTGCAATAAATAAATCAATTATAATAATTATAGCATTTTGACATAATTAGGAAATATATAATAAAAATACTAATTGGGTGATAGTGTGTATGTAAGATTAAAAAATTTGGAACAATTCAAAATATATATACAATATTAATTTTTCTGTAGCTAATATTACATGAAAACTTGGGTATGTTTAGTTTAATTACCAATATATAAAAAAAAATAATAAAAAATAAATAAATAAACCGTTTATATTCACGATCTTGCTCTTTCTCCCTTTTTTAAATTAATGAAGATTTAATGTTTGTAACATTTCAAAAATAGTAATGCATGATAATATCACCCTTACAATCTTAACTTATAAATACTAATATATTTAATATTTATGTATGTATATTGATTTTTAAATTTATTCTTTTGTGCAAAGGCAACTAAAGAGCTGCGAGCTATGGGTGTTAAGTGTTTAATATTTGGCATGACGACTTCTGAATCAAAGTCCGACATTCAAGCATTCATTGAAACTGGTTTAGATAAATGCTTTTCGAAGCCATTGGATTTTGTGATGATTGATAAGGCAATTAAGCACCTCGAAAATTGATACTCAAAACAAAAATAATTAATTATGTTTTAGTAATTAATGTATGTGTATTACTATTTGAGATTTAATTGGTGTACTTTTGGTTTCTATATGTTGTTTCATGTTGTTTTTTCATAGTTTTCAATCAACACAATTATTATTAAAAAATATAAATTTGATATATATATTGAAGAGTACACATTATTATTAAATCGAACATAACGATTCTCCTAAATGAGTATCATTATGTGGGTCTTCATAATCTTGATTTTCTTTGGCCTCATTTGGTTACATATGACCATAATATCTTCATAGATGGCATTCATTGTAAATTTTTGACACAAAAGGTACTTGATGGTCTTGTTATATTTATCAAAACCGTAGAAAACTTCAACTTTTTTTTAAGAGTGGATTCCCATTTAACTTCAAGATTGTTACATAAAGAATAGCCCCATTAGGATCACTTGTTTTTTCAAACAATTCTTTAATATTGAGATCATCATCATCCATGATATCTAAATGGTGGACCAAGATGGTAGACAACCTATGTTCTTCCTTCATACCCTCCAAAATAAAGAACAAAGCTACTGAACACTTTGGAAAATCAATAGACAACTACTGCTTGAAGTAAGCGAAGAAAAAAACAAAAGACACAACAATCAAAGTACTCTCAAAGATCTTGAGGGAGAATAAAAGCAAATGCACTAAGCTAACCTTGTCGATGAAGAAGACAATCACAGAACACCAACAACCTCTTTAGGTGAATAGGTGGAGGCTAAGCTGGCATGCAACAAATTGTAGGCACCAAGATTGAAATCGAACCTTTTAGGCTCACCGGTGACCAACGAACGAAGCAAAGTGGCCACCGACGAGCTATTCTTGCTAGGAGGTTGGTGGGAAGCTTCGAGAGGTGGGACTCTCTCTCTAGGACTTTTGAGAAAGTTTGATATTGCATGAGAACTTAAAATTCCTACAGAAATACTAAAATTAAGTTTAGTCAACATAAGGGAAATTGTATATTTCATAAATTAATTTCTTATGTCTTGTTTGGTTAGCTTTATGTAGTTCCCATATATTGTTACAACTTACAGCTTGAACTACTTTCTTAATTTTTTAGGGCAACATTGTTACTTCAACCAAATAAAAATTTGGGAAGTTTGATTGACTAAAGTTGGTTGGGGTAAATTAATTCCCATGTTTATAAGAAATTCAATTTTTACAAGAGTTAACCAAACAACTAACTCAATACATTTCCTATGAATTTGTATATTTTCATTATTGAAGTGCAACCAAGGTCTTAGTTATTGCTCACTAGGACATTTACACATTTTTTGCATTCCTATACCTCTCCATAAACAACCACCCCCCACCCCTTTTCCTCTCTTCCCCTGATTTTTCATTCCCTTTCCTAAGCATCCCATACAACACCTAATTCCAATCTGAATGTCCGATCCAATAATCCGGCCACCACCCATTCCCCTGTTTAAAGCAAGCAACCCTTGTCCAATCCAATAAAATCCTACAAACAACCTGCCTTAAGGGACTCATATCCAATCCAAAAAGTTCCTACAAAAAATATAGCTTCACCAATCAGAGACATCGTTCTGGATTGTTCAAGAACAGGACTATAGCGCAATGCAACATCTAAAGAACCATTGAAATACCTAAAGAAATAGACAATTTCCAAAACCGACTGAATTCAACAAGGCACTCAGTTTACAAAGAAAACATGAATTGCCTTGATTATTTTACAGATTAAAACATCAATAGCATAAAATGCATGGTTTTGCATATCTATGGCATAAAACCAGATGTCTAAGAAGAACCCACACACTGTTTCTTACTCAGATTTCTAAATTCAGAATGCAGCTTTGACAATAATGGAGAGCAGAAAATACCAAACCATATCAGAATTAACCAACGATGACAACAATGTAAAATCAATAGTAATAGATTATCAGCTCATGCTAAATATCCATTTAAACTCGATCAATATCCAATAGAGAAACAAGCATGACAGATTTTGAAGGTTCATTCATACCTAGCTTCAATAAATCTACTTCTCCAACATTACAAATTATGCAAACTATCTGAAAGAATCAACATACATCTGATTCTTGACGAACCTAGGTTTTCAAAATTGCAGAGAAAACAAAATATCTGTAGCAGAACTCCAAATACTGAACTTAACGGTTGGCCTTTGCAACTCTTTCAATCTCATCCTTCTTCTTGATTGCGTAACTGTGAAGATAACAAGCATCATAAGTATAAGTATAATAACCCACTGTAATGAGATGGAATACAAGTTTAGCCAACATAATAAGTTCAAAGATAACAGACAAGATCAAAGAAGCAAATTGAAAGCTCAAATATAAAGAAAGATTTAGCTATCCTGCCAATGAAAAGTCAAAAATTCACAAAGAGTACCAATAAGTTGTCTTGTTCAAACCCATAAGAACAGAGTAGCAAAGCCATTGTGCAAGCATACCTGTTTGATGATCCCTTGGCAGCATTAATGAGTTCATCTGCAAGGCACTCAGCAATAGTCTTAATGTTCCTGAAAGCACTCTCACGGGCTCCTGTTGTCAGGAGATATATTGCCTGATTCACCCGCCTCAATGGAGAGATATCAACAGCCTGACGTCTAACAACACCAGCTGATCCAATCCTAGTGGCATCTTCTCTTGGTCCACTGCATCAAATGTATGTCAAACAAGAACACAGATGGATGCATACAGAACTCCATAATATAACATTTCAACTTAATATAAATGTAAACACTCATACATTATAACTCAGAACCCAATTGGTTATGCTCAATACAACAATACCTGTTGATGACGGCATCAACAATAACTTGAATGGGGTTCAAGTCAGTCAAGAGGTAGATAATCTCCATAGCATGCTTCACAATACGAACCGCCATCAGCTTTTTACCATTGTTACGCCCATGCATCATGAGAGAGTTAGTAAGCCTCTCAACAATGGGGCATTGAGCCTTTCTAAATCGCTTCATCTGGTATCTACCAGAGGTGTGAGGCACAAAGGTGGCATGCTTTACTGCAGATACAGCAACGTAATCAGCCAGGGCAAGATCCGTGACCTAACAGAGGAAGAAAAAAAACAAGCATTATCAACAGTAACAGACATTCAAATCAAAACACACTCTGAAGACTACAGAAACAGCTGCAGAGCTCCATTTCGACAAACTGACCACAATTGATAACAAATGGAATATTACTATTCCTACAACCCCAACTGGCTGGCAACGGACACTAATGGATAGTAATCTTCGGGTCTCCCCATCACAACAGCATGACCGGTAGAATTATTGCTTTCGCCAATAAACATGATCCTTTAGAGTCATCATCCCCACCCCAACCTAAGTTAACCTTAATGTAATCTACAATATACATTTCCATCGCCTTCTTTCCGCTCGATAATTCTCTATCTCGAACCCTACCCTTACCTCTGTAACTCTGTTCTACAAAATCATACGATACAAAATCACATTGAAATATTATAAGATTTTCATACAAATAAGATACACAGAGGTCCAATATTTCATCTATTGCACAACCTTACAATAATTTACTTCTCAAATTCCAAAAACAGCAGAAAAATTAAAGCATACTACACAAACAAAAATGTAATTGCACTAAAAAAATGATTTCTATGAAATTATTATAATCAGCATTCTAAAACTACCCAGAAAACAAGAATTAAACAACCCAAAACTTAAATTTCTCCAAAACTTAATCAACAAATTCGTTCAAACGTCAGGAAAAAAAATCCCACATTCCCTTCAATTTCTAATCATTGATAGATTCATTAATCAGTAAAAAACAAGCATATATAAAAACAAAGATCTAAAAATCGAAAAGATGATAAAAACCTGGACATCTTCGTAGCCCCATTTGCCAAAGAGCTTGACTTCAGGCTGATAAGTTTCGGTCGAAGCTGAAACAGGCACCAATGTTTCCACTTCCGCCATCTGAGAGAAGCAAAGGAGATCAACGTCGAATTCGAGAAGAGAGAAAGTGATGAATTACAGAGGAGAGAGAAAGAGAGAGATACCTTGAACTAGGGCAACTGAAGTGAAGGAAAGAAAGAGGAGGCGCCTAAAATTGCAGAGAAAAAACCCTAATTTGGTGAATTTGCTGAGGGTTTAAATATTGTGTACTTACTACGGAGTAGTAGTTGTACGAGAATAGTTCGATTATTTGGGCTAAGTGAGTTGATTGATGAATTGTGTAGGTATTGGAGGTCCCGTGGGGAGCTGGGCCGTTCTTACGCATATTTTGGGCCCTTATTAAAAAAAATGCAATTTAAATATTTATAAATTACAAAGTATATGAAAATGTTATCATATTATTGAAGTAAAAAAAAAAATATTCTAACAATCAACTTTTTTAAAAAAATTTCTCATAATCAATCCAATTTAACGCAGGTTTCAAAAAAAAAATCCAATTAAACGCCAGCCAACTATTGGGTAGTCAAGCAATGAAGCAAAGACTAGTGAAGCAAGTTCACAACTCATAATTACAATTGTTTCGGTATGAAAACAATAAGCCCTTTCAAGGTGGGGAAGACTGGTCTCGGTCCAAAGAATACTGGAACCGAGGATTTTCTGCACAGCAAAGAACACGTAAACTAGCCTCGGGGGTGGTTGCCGAGGAAGGCCCCTCCGATGCTAAAATTAGTTCAGTTGAGAGAGAATGATATGCAAGAGATTTAGTGCTTGAGGCTTTTGTTGCATGACTGTAAAATGATGTAATTGATGGTTTTTATACCTTGACTCAATTGAGGAGAATTGGGCCCTTGAAGTCCGGTGGGCTGACCACGTTGACTGGGCTTTTGTTGACCTTAGCATGCTTTTGGAGGGTTGAACCTTGCATTGGGCTTGAGTTGAATTATTTGGACTTGGCCCAATTAGATGAGAGGAATTGGACCCAAACAATAATTATACTTGAGTGTTTGGGTTAAAAAATCAGGAATATTTTGGCTTTTCTTCATTTCTCGTATTATTCTTCAATGAAATCTAATCATCAGCACAAATGGAGTAGCACATTAGCAATTAATACTGACCCAAAATATTAAAATGAAATTATATTGTAAGAAAATAAAAAATTACCTCATATACTCTTACCCAGATTTCCATTCATAAGGAAGCAATGTTTATTGAATCTAATTTGTTTTCCTCCAAAAATCGCATTTTGAAAATTGATATTGTTTGTTATGGAAGGAATTACAAAATGGGTTGAATTTTATATAGGTTAGAATAATTGGTACACAAAAATTATATGATTTGATTAACAATAATATGAAATTAATTATTCCTTTGAAAAATAAATCAAGAATTGAGATGTTATACGAGTAATACATAATTTGATAATGTATCTGACTGATTGAGAGAGAAGGCAAGAGGTTTTATAAAAACTTGATAAATCAAGAAAAATAATGAGAATTAGAGATACATGGAATAAGGAAGGTTTACAATTTTTTATGGAAATTACAACATTGATTGAGTAATTACAGAAATCATGGGATTTGGAGCTTGAATTTAAGGAAGGTTGAATTTTGTCTCTGATGCATGAGTCGTGAGATGAAAGATTGAAGGAGAGCGTTGTAGAAATAATTTTTTTTTTTAATTGTAATGGGCTCCAAATATTTTGGGCCCTTCAAGTTACGAGGCCTTGTGCTAAGGTCCTGTTTGCACAGGTTCTTAGCCGGCCCTGGTGGGAAGGTTTGGTTGTATACACCCGCGCGCAAGATGTACCAGGATGTATATAAAAGTTTTCAAAGGGGGTGAATAGAGCTGATAATAGTTGATCAAATATTTTAATATGATGAAAGTGAGTGAAATAAGAAGTGTGGTTGGTAGCTTCGGGGTGAATAGAGCTAACAAAAGTTAATACTACCTTTGTTTCACATTTTTTGCAACTTTTGTCAAATATGTCCGCTACACATTTTTTGCAACTTTCCAAAATTTTCCATTTTAAGTAGGGAAATTCTCAATTGTGACCCCCCAAGTTTTGCTACACCTCAATGGTGACCATCTTGAAATTGAATTATAAAAAATGACCTTACTTTAAAATTTTATCCCACTAATAACCTTATTTTCATTAAATAGTCCATTAAAATTAACTTGGTTAATTTTTTTAAAAAAAAAAAACACTTAGAAAAATTAACAACCATCAACCCACACCACCATTTCCATCAGCCAACCACCATATCCCTTCCCCTTGTTGGAAATTCTTAATAAAAAAAACAAAGAAAAGAGTGGTATAAAAGTGAGGTAAATGTCCCACATTGAAAGAAAAGGAGTGCTTTCCCTTGTTTAAACATTGTAATACCTTAGTCCTACTTAGTTGCTTAAGTGGGAAGTGGATTGTTGAGAATGTTGACTATACCACACACACGCACGTGCGCGCGCCGGGTCGGGCTCAGGACTTGGGGAACGCCATGCGCGGGCGTGGGTGGGTTGTGGGCCCTCTATCTTTTTAAAAGAAACTTTTATCTCTTTTTCTTACTTTATTAACAGAATATTGTCAATTATTTTTTTACTGTTACAGTTTAATTAACCCTTGATTCCGACTAATTAATTGGCACATTTTATTTCTTGCCGTTTTGGTGTGACGTATCTGGTCACTTGGCTGAATGATCCTAGACACTTTCTTGTGGTAACCGTTGCCTGCTTCTTCCCTATAATTAGCCGTGCTTTAACCAACCATAATACACAATCACAAAAACTCTCTTCTCTCTAAAATTCTAAACACTGTTCTTTGATTTTTGGGCAAGTATTTTGAGTTCCAGTTAGGTTTGTGAGTGCACACAAACTTCGGTGTCGAGCTTATCCAGGAGGGCGACTGCTTTGCATCTACTGCATCAGGAGGTAGCGCGGAATCGTCTTTTAGGTCAGTGGTTATCCACGACGCGGCTACTGTATTTTGGTTCGCATCCCATTGAGATAAGTTTTTACTGTTTTTATAGCATTTAAGTCTAACAATCTAAAAGATGATTATGGCTTCCAAATTTTTGATTCATGATATGTCTAAGTTAGAACCTCTTGATGGAAATAATTATCAAAGTTGGGCTGTTAGGATGTGTTTTTATTTGGAACAAATTGATGTTGCTTATGTGCTTGATGAAATTGTTGAATCTGTTGACACTACTACATTTTTGACCAAATGCAACGACCTAATAAAGGCTAATACAACGGTATTTTAATTGCCGTTGCAATAGAGTAGGCTATTGCCACGGATTTAAAACTAATGCTCTTAGAGGTAGAGCTATTGCCACGGCTCTAATGAACCGTTGCAATAGCCTAGCTATTTTAACAGAAATGAGAGCTAATGCAACGGTAGGGTTATATCATGAAAATTTTAGCTAGAAGCGTGCATTTCTTCCTTCTAATTTTTCACCAAAAATTTTGAACAACACAGGTTTACTTTTCACAACTTATTCTCACACATTCTCACAGTACCCATTCTCACATCACCCATTTTCTCCATTTTCTCAACTTCCCCCAATTCTCCATTTTCCCCATTTTCTCAATTTCCCCCAATTCTCCATTTTCCCCATCATCTCACATTCACATATTTGCTTCAACTCCAGAATCACTTCGAAATTCTGAGGTGAAAATCACGAAAAAAATCATTCAAAAATTCGAAGAGGAAAATAAGCAAATAATTATGAGGAAGTAGACGAAGGCGGCAGTCAGGATCGGAGGTGGTGGCTGATAGCGGCAGTCAAGTGGTGGTGGCTGATAGCGGCACAAGCGGTCTCAATTTCATTCTTGCATGTCCCTTCCTTGAGCTGATTTCTCAAAATTCTGTTCAAGGTATACAACGAATTTTCGTTTTTGCGAATTAAATTTGAAGTTTTTGCTTTTGTGTTTGGGATGAATTTGAATATTAATTTGGGGTGGCTGATTTGGTTCATTCATGGGGTAAGACTTCAGAGATCCAAGTTTATTACTTTTTTCTACTTGCTATATCCATTTTTGTGAGCTGTGAAATATTTGTGTGAACTTTTTTTCCCTGTTTCTCTCTTATGTATGTATATGTGTGTAAATTTTGGTTTCTGACTATTTATTTTTGATAATTGGAGGACGATTTTTTTTTCCATTTTTCTAATTCAATGTCAAATTAGGGTTTTTTTTTATTTGTTGAATATGATTTATCAGGAGAGTGATTTGCATACCAAAAGAACTGGCCACACTGAATTTTAAGATAAGAATTCTAAATCCGTTAAACCTATTAATCTAGAATCACTGTCTTCTACTGCTCCTATGGACGTTGGTTCTCAAGGTCGGTATTCCACTTTTTCTATAAATTTATATACTTTTCAACTCTTTTTCAAAACCATGATTATACATGTCAATTTTGGGTTTGTATTTGTAGAAATGGTTGTCCCTGAGGTTGATAAAGCCCTGCATCAGGAACTTAAAGGAATGGGATTCTCAACTGCACGGACTACTATCATATAATGTGGCTCTTATGTTCAGGTAATTCCAGTCTTGAGGGTACTGTCAACTAGATAGTTGAACACGAGTACGATGCTGACTATGGAATGCTATAATTGATCTGATATCCATCTGTTCTTATCAAACATTTAGGTATATAGTATAGACTATGGAATGATCATTGGACATTGGCTGAACATATTTGCTGATTCAGATTTATAATCGATGTATTTATATGTTTGCATATATTAGACAGATGAATTTAGAATAAAGCAGAGTAAATATACTGAAGCTTTGCTTGGTTTGAATGGGTTTGGAGGAAATGATTTTGGATTTTGGAAGGAGTTTGACTTGGCTAGTTTGGAAAGGAAAATATAGCTTCTTTATTCTTTAATACCTAAGGCCTAGTAATTTCTGTTCCTCACTATGTATTTGGCTTTGATTTTTCTTGTTTCATTCTTGGTATTTGATTGTATTTAATGGCATTATTTTTGTTGAAGAGGTCTATTGACTAAGAAGATTTTGCAATCTTTATATGGCATGTAATGGTTCAGAACTTTGCACATATTTAAAATGCTTGCTAAATTATGAGGAACAAATTAGCTGATGAAATTTTTTGCTTTAATTTCAACACTATTAAGCAAATACCAGATGAACAATATTCTATTGGTTGTGTTGGTTGTTTATTAGCTGATAAAGCATCTTGCATGTACCTGAAAATGGCT